CAAATTAATTTATATGAATGTCCTATGTTATTTAGTAAAAAGTAAACAAAATCTTATACAAATATCAGTTCAAAATATCTAACAGATGGTACTGGAGTTGAAAATACGAAATCAAGCAAAAGAATAAATTCAGCGATGGGGAGGAATATAAATAACTCATGGAAGAAACGCAATTTTCGAATTTTCCTAAACAAGAATTCCATTCTCCAGATGCAGTGATCATTTAACTCTGCGAAAAACTTTACTCCTGGAATATAACAACGCATTCAGATCTTCATGTACTATAACTCAGCGTTTATGGCGAGGACTGGAAGACATTTCCTTGCAGAAAAATAAGTTTCAAAATAAATAAAAGATTTGTATTGCATTGAAAAAGTTCAATTATGAGCCTCATCACCTGAAACATATAATCATGTCCAAGTTTTGCGTTTATTGCTTTTTGCTAGTCCGATTATAAATGTTGTTTAAAAAATTGAGAATCTCTCTAAGCTTCCATACATGAAGTACAAAACATCAGACTCTAGCCGAAGTTGCTTTTCGCACAGATCATGCAGGCTGATCCCTGGGCAAAAATCAAAGATGGCAGCGTCTTACAAAACATTTAGTTCATACGAAAGAAACTCCTGGCATACAGTTAAAATCCAGGTACTTAGCGACAGTTCTAACTAGTTTTAAAAACTTATTATAACTTGCCTTCACTTTAGCAAATTTGGTTTTCAATCACCAACCCTGTCCTAAACTACACTGAAATAAGTTAATAAAAGGTATAAACATAGAATGAATCAATCCTTAATGTAGATGCAAATTAACTGAAAATGTCGTTGCCATTCCTACCAAACTTCATAGAAGAATGTGAAAACCGAACTGAGGTCACAAAACAAATATTTAGATACAAACGACTAGTGGGAATAACCCAATTTATGACTCAAACAGTTCAGTCCGCAATTCTAACTGCATAACAGCATTGGATCTAGGGAAAAGACTAGGATTTGCTTTTGAGTAAAAAAAATACATATTGAAAATAAATTAAAATCAAACTAACGAGCGATCAGCTAGTTAATTACCGACCAGTTTTACATAATCCTCTCCTATATAACATCACAAAAATAAGAAAAAAATTCATTTTAAAAGGAGTCAGTTTCGACGGAATTAGTAACGTTATCATCAAACAATGTTAGTTGTCGGCCTCCAACTCCAGAAGATGAGTTCGATTCATCCAGCAAAAAATTCTGTTAACTGCCAATTACATTGAGCAATAAATTCGCTCCAGGTTGTTTCGGTGCAACCAGCCGAAAAATAACAGGTGTTACACAATCGTAACACAGACAATACATGGCTCAATGTGAATTTTAGCCTTTAGAGAAGCTCGCATCAGACAGCAAAGCCGTAACTTTTGTACTTCCAAGCAATTATCTTACCAGAACAAAAATTTATGTTTGCAAATTAGTGACTGCTACCCGTTTTTCAGCTGCTTTCGCTGAGGGAAAGTGGATTTGAACTGCTGACTGCAAATGCAGAAATTTCTTGTTCAATGAAATTAGCAATAAAGTTAAAATATTTTTATCGGGATTCGAAGTTAACTTCTTACCACTGTCAACGCCCCCTCCTCCAAAAAACGCGAAAAATGCATTTGCCCAATACGGATAGCACGGTTTCTAATATAATCGTATTAGAATTCACAAGATATGAGGTACGGCCATGTTTTATTATGTGAGTGTATCTTAAACTTGTAACTCACCTTGACCCATATGATAGATAACTATCCAATGAAACAATCAGTACACGGTGCAAATCCAAAAACTCAATATATCGGCATCTCACTGATTTTTTCCTCCATGTCACTTTAGTTGAAATCGGATCTGAGTGAAACAGAATTCACTTCTGGTTTGATGATACTTAAAACATACAGTCAGGTTTACCGATTTAAAGCACGGAATCAATACGTATTATGTAAATTACGCTACAAGAACAGCAATTTGACTTTAGTCAAGAAAAGATTACTGAAAACTGTGCATTGCAGATCAAGGTTTACGCGAAACATTTACGTGACTTTCATCAGATTCTGAGAAAAGTATGATATTGAAGCTCACATTAAAATGCTCCGGTTTCTGATTTTGCAAGCTTCAACGAAAGCAAAGAAAACCTGATTCGAAAGCAAAGAATTTACTTAATATTTTGACCAAAAAGAACTGAAACCATGCATTGCAGAGAAGTGTTGGGTGTTGTGAGAATATCACTAAGTGAAAATATAACAGAACAAAAAGTTCAGTACAACCAAATAGACAAAATGAGTTAGAAAACTTTTACAAGCATAACCAGAAGTTCATCGAACATAAGAACACAAAATACGAATGGGCTGTCATTCGTTAAACGGTAAAATCTCAAAAATGTTTTATCATGTAAGATTAACACACACAGTTTAACTGCTTTCCGCACAACAATTAAACCCAGACGTATAATCTATCATGCTCAACGAAAACAGTCACCACAACGTGTATCTACTACAGATATAAGTCCGAAATATGCAAGTACACTAATCCTATTACAAAGCATAAGCGTTCTTCAATAAGAACAGTTACGTACTTAATAGCGGGGCTACTTTTGTTAAAGATGTTAAGGTTTTGCGTGGTTTGCATTAAATGAAACAATTGAATAATTTAGTAATATATTTATGAATGCTACTTTAATAGAAATATAAGCAAGCGAAAAATTTTTAATGAATATGTACTCGATGCTACTAAATTGCATTTGTATATTTACCAAATATCCACATGTATTTGCAACATTTCGGGTTACACCACCTGTTTCTTTGTAGCCGGCAGGTGCTAGATGCTTGCCATCACTAGTATAAAACGTCTCTTAAGCCTTCTGGGTAAACTGCATTATGTCTGAGAACTATTAGTGTCTGTAGACTATTGTAAACAACACCAATCGGTAAGATTGCTCATTGGTAGTACCTCTCCAAATATAGTTTTTAAAGTTATCTAGATACTTATTTGGATAGCAGTTTAAGATTATTAGTTTATAAAAATGTCACTAATTATTTTAATGCTCTTCTTCAAATGTGAGGTAACATAAAGAAATTATAAAGTTTGTCAACGTTGCAATATCCAGTTTTCTTCATTTAAATAACGGGGCCATTTTTGCGCCCCTCTCTTTCTGTGAAGCTGATGGAGACGCAAATTCGAGGAATACTAAATCATTGCTGAATCTGCAAGATTTACAAAGATCTTCAATATCAGAAGGCGAGCCACCTGTGGTTGGATATCCATTCATACGGTGACGCTTTCCATTTTTGTGGTTATGTAATGACAGTCCTTTCTGAATTTTAAATTTTATTTGCATTTTTGCAAGATTGTCCAGATGATTTAGAAACAGTTCACTCGCCTCTGCTCGTTTACACAACAGTATATCAACTTCCCCAGTTTTTGTCGAAAATACTCTCACTGATTGCAGCAGTGTCCAAAATGGCTGTGAGAAAATGGGCTGTGGCTGAATGTTTGGAGGTACTTCGAAGGAGTTTTCACATTTAGAAACCAGCAATTCCCGACGGTGCAGAACGTTGCTTGGACAGGCTGCGATTGTGGTCAAACCAACTGAACTAAGAAGGGTTCTTTCATTTAAATGGGAGCACAGCTTAACAAATCGGCTGACTTTGTCTGATCACGTTCAGCTAATCGTCACCAAGGTAAGAGAGGCGTCCTTCTGCGATAAGCTACAGCAGATGGGAACCCGATGTGGCTTCGCTCGAAGTTTTGGAAGTAATACTTTGCCCTTGCAGTACCGCACGCAGCTTTCGATCTTCTTAATGCTCTGTCAGTTGATCGTTTTGAGGTCTCACGACGAAGCTTGAGGGTGTTTGCCAAGAAAGCTGGCCTGCCATATCGATAGATCACCTGCTTGTGTTAAACGATACTAGCTCTGCTATTCATAACTTGCAAACAACATTCTAGCAGATCTGCCTCCTCATCTGCACGATATGGTGACCGTTTGCAAGTCGAAGGTGAGGGTAATTACTACAGACCTGATGATCTGAATAATCGTTCATAGTGAGGCCTTCAAAAGATCAGTATTGCTTCACCTGATTTTCGTGAGTTCGCTGAAAAATTGCGTACAAAGTTAAGTTTTTGATCCTCATTTAGCACTTCGTATAGACGTTATCATGCCTAAGTGCTAAAACCGCTTAAGTTATTCTCAAACTCTGCTTGTGTGAAGTGCATGTTGATTCGTATCTGAGGTTAAATTATTTGATGGCTATTAATGATCATTTTGAAAGAGACCAAATACCGTGATACTTCCCAAGATTCGTGTGCATGAGTTATCATGACACCGTGAATTGATTTAATTTACTCACGACTTAGATTAAAACTTTCAGCTGCACAAAACCCGGAAGTAGGCATAATGCGTTTCTATACACGTTTCAAGCAGGTGAAGACCTTTGTGCAGCTAAGTGGTGTAGAGACAGTTGTTGCCATGAACATACGACTCTGCAGGATATGAATCGTCAACAATGGTGGATCATCAACATTTGCCCCAAATGGTACTACCCTTTGGTCATTGCTTATTCTATTCGATCATTTTATTCTATGAGGATATCCGATGAACCGACTTGGTAACACAGCACATCCCTTTTGGTACCTGCATTTTTAGGACTTTCAGCGTGTATTTTGGCGCCATCGAACATCAGGGTCTTGCTATTTATCAGTACATAATAACAATACAGTACCTTTATTACGCGATACGTAATAGCGAATGGTGAAAAAAACGTTTTAAAATCGACTTTACTGGGTAACTAAAACACGGAATTGAACAGCTGCATGACATTCATAGCACATACTCACTTTCACGGAATGAAAATATCAGCAAAATGCAAGGGCGTAAAAGGATAATTTTAATATTCGCCGCATCTTCAATAAATTTAAATTTTTTTGGAGGCGGAATGAACATGCATTACGAGATGCACAATAAATGCCGATTTCGCTGTTTTTCAAACATTACATTTTGATATTGTATTTGATAGCATAAACATATACAACAGTAACACATTTATCCAACTTGAAAAGGAGGCCTTAAAAATTTTAATACCAAGCGCAAATTTTTACATTTAAACAACGCTACACCAAAAACCCTATACTGATGAAAAAATAAAAAAGACTAACAACAAATGCAGATTCAACGATTCAAGGTTGGCTAATCGTCATCGTCAGAATCGAATACCGCCGGTTTAGCTTTAGGACGCTTCGTTTTCGGTGAAACCTCGAAGTCATCGGAATCAGGTACGAAATCATCTTCACTGGAGCTCGCCCATTCAAGCTTTTTCGTTTTCTTTTTGCGCTGACGAACATTTTTAACATCGGCCCTGGGCTTTGCTTTAGTAGCGGCGATTGGCTTTTTAGTAACTGCAGCTGGTTTTGCTGGACTTTTTGGTGCTACCACAGTGTCTGAAATGATATTAAAGTCGATTGAATCTGAACCCGCATCGCTTAATGGCTTTGAAGGCTTTTCCTTTGAAGCACCGGCAACTTCCTCGTTGTCTATGCATACCTAAACCAAATAAAATAAATCAACAGAAAAGCTGTGCAAAGTTTCTTACGTCGTCTAAATTAAAGCTATGGTCGTCACTTCTATCTGACAACCCAGCGATTTCTTGGCTGTCATCAGAGTCAACATTATATTTTACGGGTTTCCGTTGACGCAACTCAACGTCACCAAGTGGTCGCGTAGGTTCCAGGTCGAAATCTATCACTTCAACTGATGATCCCGACGATGATGAACTGTCCTAAAAAACAAGATATCGAACCTGCTTTACACAAAACTGAGATGACGGTAAAAATTACACGTAACCTAAGCATTGACCGAATGCGTATGTGCATGGCCAAAAACGAATCGCCATTCTTACACAGGTATTAAGTCAATATAAAGTGGACAGTCAAGTACCCTACCTTATCAAAATTTCAACCCTCAGCATCGAATGCAAAAGAGCTCAAACGGGGAATCGTAGTAAACCTTAACAAGATAAACAATTCATTATCGTTGAATAGTAACCATTTTTGAAGTTTGAATACAATTTCTGAGAATCACCTTCATTCCACTTAATATGTGGCATAGCAACGAATGCAAGTCAGCGCTTCTTCAATTCCTCCATTGTGTGCTCATTGTTGCTTAGGGCTATAGGACCCCATTTACTCCTTCCATTACTCA